AGGTATCCTCTGTGTGTTCTCAAAAGCCATTTTTGGTGGCGGTCAAACAGATTCTCTTGCTCTTGCGTATGCTTGTAGCCTGGTAGTATGCTACTGCTGTGGCTGTTGTCTTTGTTAGCTCTACTGTCCTTTTTCTCTCTGCTCTGTTAAAATCTAATGGTCCTCCTATAGATCCCTTCTTCGGTGACCAACCTTCTATAAAAGTTGTGATTATAAAGCTGCTTTGGCTTGATTCAGGACCAAGCCTCTTAATTCTTCTTTGTTTTCTTTTTCTTTGTAGTCCGTTAGAGTGGAGATGTTTGGGATGGTTTTTACCACCGGATAGCAAAAGGGCTCAGGGCTCGTGTGTCCTTCAGAGGTTTTTGAGAGGTGTGCGTTGGCAACCACAGGTTCAAACACAGGTTAGTTACAGAACTCCAAATAATGCCTTAACTTGGTCAACGTATTCCAGCTCAGCTTCTAGGACTCACTAGATAGCAAGACCAGCGTAGCAGAACTATTTATCAGTAGTAACACGAGACCCACAGCAAAGCCTGATTTTAATTTGGAGCAGAGGGAGCAGTGATTTTGCGAAGCAATCCATTTGAGTCTGTTGAGTGTAGCTGACTCTTGGTGAATATGCAATAAGTAAAGAAGTCCCACTTCTCTGAGTGTGGCCAAAGACCTGTCCTGTCAGCACAGAAACTGGAAGGAGAGCTGATGCTGGTCAGCTGAGCCTAGTTGAGCAGCTGGCTCTCAGTACTCATTGTGACTAAAGAATGGCGTAAGAGAACCTTAGAATTGCTGCTTTTTTCAGGCACAGATCAGTTCCCAATGTCTGCCTTTGGTCTGCAGTGCTGCACATGGCTCCTGTGTGATGGGAGGGTTGTTACTTGAGCTCCTGTATGAGGAGTCTATATCAGCCTGTATTAGAGGCTACTGATGGTCTCTCTCTCTCAAAAAAAAAAAATTTTAAAAAAGTCTTAAATGGATCTTCCTGCTGCAGCAGCAGCACTGTGTTTTGTCACCAAGAATACAGAGCTTAGTTTTCTGGAGAAGTGGTTATCTTGGAGACAAGAGAGCATGAGAAGTTACAGCTGAGAGCTACCTGCTGCTGGGTCACTCCTCTGGATAAGAGGGAGAAGGGCTTAGGTGTAGGGGCTGTGTCTCAAGTTGAGTCTCGTGCTATAATTTTACTTTTTGGGATCTACTACAATACCTGTTTTTCCATCACAAATCTGAAAAGGCTTTTTTCCCTTTTTTTTTTGGTAGTAATTAAAAAAACCCTTAACCTATATAAATACATGTATGTTTTTAACTGTTGAAAAAGTCAAAGGAAATACGTGGATAGGGCTTTTCAGCAATCTGAGTGAGAGCTGTGACAGCCTTTTGACTTTTTCTACAGTTGCAACAATACCCAGTAGGGTGGCCCATGCTTTTGCCCAGGTTCAGCTCCTGGGTGACTTGTGCAGGTTTCGAGACCCCGGGGAGGCCGGTTGCTTGTCCTGGCGAGGCTGCGCGTTTCGGGGGTGACCAGGTAGCCTTTTCCTTAGCTCAGCTTTTTTTCAGATGCAGAGCTTTCAGCGTTGCTCAGTTTGACAGTGGCTGTGGTTTCTTTCCCAGGGCTGTTGCAGCACGTTGCTGGCGTGGAAGAGAGCACCATCAGGGATTTCTCACCCTCTGCCAGGCACTGGAGGAGCAGAGCAGCCAACGTATCCTGTCTGGTACAAGAAACTGAGAAGTGGTGAAAATCACCACTTTTCTGTTTCCTTCCCAGTTGGCTGTGCTCGTCCTTCAGTCGAAACTGGTGCTCGCCACTTCGGTCACGCCAGGAACTGTACACTGTCACTTCTGTCCAAGAGACCTCTCTGATTTCTTTGCTTTCACTCAATTTGATAGTCTTTTTGGAAAATGCTGCCGTTGCGATGAGGTAACGACTTGTACAGAGCCAGTTATCTGCTGCTTTGGTTTCCTCTGGCACAGCAGAATTGCTGGAGCTGTGGGTGCCTGAGGAATTCACCTCCAAGCACTTAAAAAAACCAATTGCTTTGAAAACAATATTGCTGAAGTGTCTCCTTATATGCTGGGGTGCTGCATTAGATGCCTCTTCCTCACTTACACCGTGCTGTTGCATGCTGAGAACATTTGGGTGAGGAGTGCAGGCGTGGGAGCAGCGTTAACCGTGGGTGTAAGTGGGCTTCGTGCTCACCTGCGCCCCGGGGACAACTTGTTCCTTTTGCTTTGTGTACTGGAAACATGAGAACTATATTTTTGGACAAAGCATTTCTAAGCAGTCTTATAAGGGATTTTTTTTTAAAATAAAAAAAGGTGCAAGATTGAGTGCATGTTTACTTGCCCCAGATCAAAGGTTTTGAACACTAAGGTCACTATCTGTTGAATGGACCCTCCTCTTGGCACTCTTCTGTCTTCAGGCAATTGAAGCTCCTGCCCTCTTTCTCTACCACTTTTACTGTAACTACTGTTATTTTTTTTCCAGGAGAAAATTATATATAAAAATTCTAAGCAATTAAATGTTGAAGCCATAAAATCATGAGTGTGGGAAGACCCTCTTCACAAGTTTTAACATATTTGTATGTAAAATGATGTTTGTATGAAATATTTTCATGGTAGAATGAATATTTAAAAAAAGTTCCAGTCAGATCTAAACCAAATTTAAAAGGACGTCTTTTTGTAAGGTGCAAGTGTAATTGATTACCAATAAGTAGATAATTTTTTTTTTTTTAAAAAGGGGAGATGCAACAAATGATCTTTACAATTACAAATGGTCGTTTCTGCTATTTGGGAAAGTATTTATGCAGCATTACACACAGCTGTCATAAATAATTGCAATAGCAAGGCCAGTCACATCTTCAGGACATACCTCTCAGCTTGTCCCTCCGTGATACTGTACAAACGGACCCATCCCTCCTTTCTGCAGATTTCCTCCTAGAAAACTTTTCCTACTGTAACTGTACTGAGTTTAACTCTTGAGCTAAGATCCAGGCTTAAATTGTGTATTACTTAACAGTTTCTGCTGGGCCTTCTGCTATTTTAATACTCTTTAGCCCATAATTACTGGGTGTCTCTGTTCCGAAGAACTAAGTGCTAAAGAATAATCCTTGGGGTAAGCTTATACGTGTGTTAACAGTTAACCCCGGAGTATTTAACTTGTATACAGTACTTGATAGGTGTTTTATGACATTTGTACTCGAACTATGAGCCTTACTGAACATCTGTAGGTTTATTCATGACTTTTAAAAAATGGATAACTCTAAGAAAGATGTTTACATGAATGATGATTGCCCTTCCTTTGATGTTATGAATGAGGTTTTTATAGTGTGTTTGGGTGTATGTGCAAGGAAGTAAGAAAAATGTTTGTGGGGAAAAATAGACTTGACAAATATTTGTAATAAGTGAATTTTAAAGATTGCTTTAATTGCGCTATGAAGGCAATGCAGATATTAAAATATTCAACAGAACTGTCGTCTCTCCTTGTTATTTGTGTGTCGTGGTTTTGGGCATCCTCTGCTCTCTCCCCCTTGCTTGTGCACCGTGCGGTTGCTTTGCAGCCAGGGCTGTGGCTGCTGCACGGGAGCAGGATTTGGCGCACAGTTAACACACTTCTAGACAACATCATATTAATAGTGAACGAATGGCAGAACACTCCTGACACCGCTGCCTTGTTTTTTTTCAGGCACCTCTGCTGCTTTTGTTAATCACTTCTCTTTGCAGTGCACATGACGTGGGCTTCAGTTGTGTCATGCCATGGAAAAACATCCTGCCAGTGTATGCCAGAGTGTCTTTAACCGTTGTATTATTACCTGAAAGGAGGGTGCAGAGAGCTGGGGATGAGCCTCTTTAACCAAGTAATAAGCAATAGAACAAGAGGGAATGGCCTCAAGTTGCGCCAGGGAAGGTTTAGACTAGGTGTTAGGAAGCATTTCTTTCCAGAAGGGGTTGTTGGGCGTTGGAATGGGCTGCCCAGGGAGGTGGTGGAGTCCCCATCCCTGGAGGTGTTAAGGAGTCGCACTGACATAGCGCTGAGGGATCTGGTGTAGTTGGGAACTGTCAGTGTGAGGTTAAGGGTTGGACTGGATGATCTTTTCCAACCTAGACGATTCTGTGATTATCTGCTACAAGGATGGAGAAGGGACTTGCTTGGCCTTGGCCTTGCCTGTTGAGCCCCCGCAGCCCTGAAGCTGGCAGGATGGGTGTTCGCTGTCCGTTTGCCGTATCTCCGGGTCGAGCCGTCTGGAAGATGACACTGGGGTTGCGGATGCTGCTCTCTCCGTGGTGTTACAGCCCTTCGCCGCTCGCACGGCGGAGGTGCCCTGGGTTCATTTAGAGAAGCGGGAGCTGGCCAGTTACCAACTGACTTCTTAAACAGGAGTGGAGGGGTCGGCAGCCTTCGGTGCAGCGCTCCCTGGGCCGGCTGGGGCTGGGCGGGGCAAGTAGGCTCAGGGCTTTTTGACACTTCCAGCAGTGATCTGAATGTGAGCTTTGACACCACCCATCTCCATGTGCTGGAGACTCAGGCCACGGCTCCACTTCTCGTCCAAGGCAGGTGGCTGGCAGAGCTGACAGCTCAGGGACTCAGCTGCGTGTGCAGAGACAGAACTGAGCCTCACAGGTGAGGGGGAGTTGTTGAAGGCCAACTGGCAGGACAGCTTCAGCAAATGAACCTCAAAAAGATACGCACGTCTTGATCTTTCCCTACCTGCCCACAGGTCATTAGTTTAGATCGTTGCTGTTGCAGCCGTTTGCAGAAAAGCGTGCCTCTCTGGTAGGAAGCTGTTGTGTGCATCTTGTGGATTATCCCACCAGGACCATGAAGTCTGCAAAGTTGAGGCTTGTGTTTAAGCGCGGGGAAGAGGAGAGGGAAGATACGTGACTGAACCCTGCTGGGAAGGGATGGTAACTCCTTCCACAGTCTTGATAACCTGCTTTGGACTGCTGGCGTCTT